GGAGAGGCATAGTGGAGATAAATACACTTAGTTCTGTGCATGTGTATGTGTGTGTGCGTGAGAGAGAGAGAGAGAGAGAGAGAGAGAAAGAGAGAAAGAGAGAGAGGAAGGGAGAGAGGGAGAGACAGGGAAGGAGGGGGTAGGAAGAATGAGAATGAATAGAAATGAATGAATGAGTTACGGAATATGGCAGAAGGTGACTGAAACTAGAAGAAAACTCACCATCTATGGAAGGAATATTTATTGCTAGTACTTTGGGTAACTAGATAACAAGCATACAATCTTGACTTCCTGAAGCTAATGGCAGCTGGCTGACTGATGTCCAGTTTAAAGACCTAAAATTCACCATCTACAGTTTCAAGGGAAACAATGTATTTTATGGAATGGAGCTCATCTTGATTTTTCACTTTCTCTTATCTTCTACCTTGAATTCACTGGCAAATCCTGTTTGTTGATTTTACCTTCAAAATGTATCCTGGATCTGATTACTTCTCACCATCTCCACTACCATTCTAGTCCAAATCTCTTGCTGGAGTATTGCATATCCTTTCCTTTTTTAAATTTATTTTAATTTTAAATTTAATTTTGTGTGTGTGTGTGTGTGTGTGTGTGTCAGGCAATTTTATCAGCATTGGTAATACAGTAGTGAACAAACAATACAAGTTTCAAAGAGGTACAGACAGTAACCACTGCATATCCTTTTAACTGGCCTCCCGGCTTTTCACTTTTTCTCTCCCATATGCCAAGCCATACATATAGAAGCCAGAGTGATCATTTAAAAATTTAAGACATTTTATGTTCCATGCTATGTTTCGCTTCCTCAAAACTGTCCATTTAGAATAAAATGATCTTGTTTCTGTTACCTCTCCAACCTCATCTCCTTTTACTTTTCTCCTTTCCCTCTATACTTCAGCCACATTGGCCTCCTTGCTGTTCCTCAAACTTGATAAGCATGTACTCCAGGGCTTTAGTGTTTGTTGTCCCCTCTGCTTGAAACACAGTTCTGTTCACGAGGCATATACCCTCAATGGCTTCAGATTTCCACTCTAATTTCCCCTCATCAGTGTGGCCTGATTAGCCTTTGTAAAACAGAGGGCTCTACCTGTCTACCAGTCAGGTCCGGGACAAGGAAACCAAAACTCCTCTAGGTATTTCAAATGGAGGGGGTAGGAGAAGAGAGGATTTAATGCATGGGATTGGTTACAAATGTGTTGGCAGGGCTGGAGAAACAAAAGAAGAAACGTGTATTACTTAAGATCAGTAACTGCAGTCACCATCGTCCCCAGGGCTGTTGGAGGAAAGTGATGTTACTGAGTTGAGGAGATATACTCGTGCTACCTTCTTTCCACCTTCTAATACCATGTTAATGCATCTCAATGGCAAAACCTAACTGGACCGCAGCTGGAAAGAGAGTCTGGGAAACTGTTTTCAGGCTTCCAGCTTTATTGTATAGGGGAGAGAACAAAAGGGCTGATGTGGAATAAGTTTCAATAGATAATACCTGGCATATACCTCTTCTGCTAGCATTCTGTATTATCTCACTCGGCTTTTTAAAAATTCATATCATTTACCACTATATGTTTGTTTATTGACTACCTGCCCCCCCATCCCCATCAGAATATAAATTCTGTAAGAGCAGGGGCTTTCTCTGTCCTGCTTGCTGCTGTATCTCCAGGAGTCAGAACACTGCCTGACATCAGTATGGTAGCATACTAAAAGGGGAGGGGTTGTGAGAGAAGGCTGCCTCAGTGAAAAGGAGTATTTTATCACTGACATTGTTTAGGATTGCCAGTGCATGGTGATAATAAAGAACAGAATGACTTGTAGTTAGTTTTATTACTGTTTTCGAATTTTCTGCAGACAGTGCATTCTTTTATGTGAGGGTAAAGCCTTAATAAAACGCTTTCGCCATGTCTAAGGACAAATTTGAACTTGGGTTAACTTTCTAGCTCAGTTCCTCTGGAAATCTGATAAAGAGAAATGTCAGCTTGTTAGCAGGCAACACTTCTTATGGTAAAATGGTCTCTGATTAGTAACTTGCATATGGAATGGAAGAAATTACAGATGACCTATAAATCCCTAGTGGAAAGCCAAGCTTTGGGCTTCCACGAATGTGGTGACACTTGAAGCTGGGCATATCCCTTGTAGGGACTCTGGAAGTTGCCTAAGATTGTTATAAGAAATATTGATTCCTATGTAGGAGATGGTGCTTCTAAGTTGCTGGCTCCCATACTCCCCTAGGAGAATTCTTGTTCCCTTGCACTTAAATGTCACTTGAAGAACAAAGAGAACAGCTGTTGGGTGGCTGTGTGAACTGCTAAGATGACTGGTCCCACTGAAGAAAGCATGATGCTCCCCTGCTGGATGCTGAGTTTCCTGTTCAATATCTTTCTAAGTAAGCTGGTTCAAGGTACAGTATATTCATATATCGTTAAGTCTGATGTTTAGTTAAGAGAACCTCTGGTGAGCATTCCAGCATGTAACAGATGCTTAATAATCATATACTGAACAAATACATGAGGCTGGAAATGTACGACCACAATTAAGTAATTACTGAATGGTATTCTATTACCTAAATTTTAACCTGCATAGTTTGTCGAAATCAACAAATGTCTACAACAGCTGGTCTGTGTTAGTTATTGTTTACAACTCTACCTTCCCAATTCTAAAAGAATTCCTTCATCCTGAATAAGATCATGTAGTCACAAAATACAGAGCAGGCTTTAAATATAGTATACATAGACATCTTGTATGGCATTCTTTGGGTTGGCTAAGGTTACTGCTTTGCTTAGCAATATACCACACTGGATTCAAGAGGTGGCGTATGTGAAGCCATACATATCAGGGGAAATCAGAACTAATACTTAAGGGGAGCTTGTGCTGTGACTGAATAAATTATAGACTTGTCACAGTCATAGACAAATGTAATTTCTTTTGGCCTTTCTGAAATAAATGAATACTTTTTTTTCCTTATTATTTTCTGGCTATCTGAGGATCTCAAGCCTCAGGAGAGATACTATGCATTATTTATCACTTTTATCTCTAGTTTCCAGTATAGTGTCTGGCATAGAGGTATTCAACAAACATTTGTTGAACTAAACTATATGGTGATAGAGAGTCATAATAATAGCTAACTTTGGATGGGAGTAGGGAGGAATGTCAAACTACATGGAACCAGAGATCATGGAACTTAGAAGCATTATTCCCTTGGAAAACCATGTTAAGTACAGCAGGCCAGAAAACGTAGGGGAATCTGTCAAAGCTTCTCTAAGGACAATCAAATCTATGGGGGCAGGGAACTAGGACTACAAAATCTTCTTTAGATTCTACCATGTATGTACCATCTCTATTCTCACCCCATCACTTTTCCCTACTACTAGTAAATAGTTTTAATAAAGGGTATAAAAGATAGCTTAGGGGCTTCCCTGGTGGCGCAGTGGTTGAGAGTCTGCCTGCCGATGCAGGGGACACAGGTTCGTGCCCCAGTCCGGGAAGATCCCACATGCCATGGAGCGGCTGGGCCCATGAGCCATGGCCACTGAGCCTGTGCGTCCAGAGCCTGTGCTCCGCAACGGGAGAGGCCAAAAAAGTGAGAGGCCCCCAAACCAAAAAAAAAAAAAAAAAAAAGATAGCTTAAAAAATAGTACCAATGTACTCTGGGGGATAACTGATAATATTAATCCAGGCCTACAAAGTCATTAGGAAGAACACAATAAATGTAGCTTAAACAAAGTTGCCTAATAACTAGTTGTCTATTAGTTTGCTCATTGTACTTAGCTTTCTTAAACCCCATGAAGTCACTTAGATGCACAAAGCATATAAATAAATCTCAAATAAGAATAGATCATTAAGTCAACCAGTTTAACAGAAATTTCTTTCTGGTGCTGAACATAGTGTCAGTTCGTCCTAGGGATATTAGAATCATCACTTTGTAGATCAATTAAAAAGAATGTTTATTTTGGGTCGGTCAATAGTTTTTGGGAATGACTAGGACACCTATACTGGGAAGTAAGCAAATCTAGAATTCTGATTTACCTCTCCATTAGCAAAACAAAACATTCTTTTCTTTTGCCCCTTCCAAAAGAACTAGAAAGGTAATAGACCCTTGAAAACATCCATCTCCAAGACTCTAGGAAATTAAAAATAATGGTAGCAACCTCTTTTTAGAGGTTAAAAGAGAAAAAAACCCAAAATCCTGTTAATCTGTTTAAACATAGTATAAGATCTAAAGGAATTACTTAAAAAAATCTCAATAGTTTGATTCTGCTTTTAGGCTTTGAATTTCCAGTGGATTCACTTTTCAATATTCCCAGTTTGACCTTACAGCTTCCAATTGAAGTTTTGTATAACTTAAGCAAACAGGGAACAGGAAGTTTTTCAAGAGTTCTCATAAAAAGACTGACTAAATTCCCCTTCCTAAATCAGGGCTGAAATGACATTTTGACACATTCTGAATAGCATGCTACTAGAGATGCCATCTTTAGAGAAAAAAAAAACCTCTGATTTTCAAATCCTTCCTGGTGATTAAAGATCACATGGAATGTTTAGCAAGAAAAGGGGCTAGCCATGGTGTCCTAGTTCGTTGAATTATTTCCCACACAGAGGTGGCCCATCATCTCAGCAGCAGGGTATGCACAATTGATTGTCCCAACAGACTAAGTACTGGGTTTGCACAGTTGAATACCTATAGCTAGCAGTCAACATTCTTTGTTTATATGTACTGAGTGTGTGGAAGGTCATTGGTTGTAATATTTCATTTTAGTAAATGGAAGGGAACATTTCTTAATATGTAATTTCTAGTTCTTCCTTTTCATTTTCTGTACTTGAACTATCCTGAGGCCAATTTATTATTTCCTTGTTATAGAAATGTGGTAAGATCTATAATCCTTAATGTTCTATTTATAACACAGAACACAGAATGTCAGAAATACTTTCATCTGAAAGCCCCACTACCCACCATCTTTCCCCTGCTGTCACCCCCCTCCGCTTTTTTTCCTTACCTCATTCCCTGTTGACATGACTGCAACCACTGGAAACTTATTAACTTCAACCTCTGTGACACCTACAGTTGCCAGAAGACCAATCTCTGAGGGGCCCATGTGGGTTCCTTTGGCCAAAACACATTCCCCTCTTTTAATGTCATGGCCAATGGGTCTGAAAGTCAAAGCAGAACCATAAACAGTATGACTAAGAACAGTATTTTCTCAACTCAGGGGAAACTTTAGTGTTAAAGAAGGAGGACACTCAAGGGGGAAAAAGTGAAGAGATGAGGCAGGACCAGAATACTAAAACGAAGAGATTCTAAAAACTCTATGCTTTTTTAATTAAAAAAATTAAATCACATAACAGAAGACAGAAATAGATTTGTATCTATTGCTGTTAAACAGGAATATGTTACTTCATGTTTGAAAGTTATTTTATAAATTGTTTTGTATCACATTACAGTCCAAAACACCAATTGCAATCTTTCTTTGATGTAAGGCAAGCATTTATATGAAAATATCTAATGCCATGTCCATAGCTTGTTAGCTTTGTGGTGAGGAGAATAATGCTAATGAGGTTACAGTCATGGAGATAATTTCCATTTAGACCACTTAGGCTGGTCCAGTTCTGTGGCTGTGTAGGTCCATTCACTCTTGGCCTGCCGCCACAGGAACTGGAGAAGTATAGCTTTGTTACAAAACGTTGAGCAAATTTGCATTAATAGAATCAGGGCAAACATATTCAATTGTAAGAAAAATCATTTGACAAATATACACTACTTACGGTAAGACAGTAGTCTCATCTTTGTATATAAACAGTAGTACATTATTTCATTATTATTGGCAGTCAATAGAGGAGGGGCTTTCAGCTAATTATATAAATACTCAACTCTGAAAGTATCTGTGTTAATATCAAATTCTGGATTACCAAGGGGTAGGGATGGGTAATTCTGGATTATCTAGGAGGAGGATTAACTGTGGATTATGTAGGCTCATGACTTTGCCTCCTTCTCGTGTTGCTTTTGAATATTTCATTTGCCTTTACCAACTTTACAAAAAAGTAGGGAGGGCAGACATGGGATACAGAATTCAGAAAATTAATTTTGCTACTTGTTAAAAGCCCTGAAAGCTAATGGTTAACTGATTGAGCTGTGAATTTATAATAGCCATGCTCTCCTGAGTTCATGATCATGGCAGAAACAAAAGTTGGCTATACATTCTATATGTTATGAACTTACCTGATATCTTGGCCTGGCCGAGCTTGCACCAGAATTCGTACTTCAAGCTCCTCAGTGCCCTATAATAAGAGCAAATCATGTAATTTCAAACAGAACAATCTAACTGAATTTTGATCAATAGAATTTAGCTACTCAGATGCTTTCATCATCAGATAGGCCCAGAATATATAAAAATATAGAGGAACAGAAAAGCCTTTGCTAAACCCTTTGAACATGATGAATTTCTACCACACGTTCCTGAAAAATCAGGTTTGATGCCAAGGAATGAATGAATGAATAAATAAACAAACAAACATTTTCACTGATTCTCATGCTTTTAAAAAATGTACCAATTCAAATACTGACTCTTACTTTGTAAGCAGCATTCTTTAGGAAAAAAAAAAAAGATGGCTACCCTAATAGATACAGTGAATATGCATGGAGATAACCTGTCTCTTCTAAATCATGGGTTCAATACTATGCTAAGGTTCCTTGCATATATACCTGCAGGTATTTCTGAAATACTTGCAGAAATTTCAGTGAAGGACTTATAGTTTATCTGGTAGTAGATTTCTATAAATTAATGGTGATCATCATTTTTACATTTATGGACTGTGAATAACATTGTGACACTGGAACTGTGTCTTGTCATCTGGCAGAGTCTGTGGAGGCATGTGTTCTGGATTTCAATGCTCTGCTGGCTTCACTGATGCCAATAAATCTGTTGGACAGTTTTAACAGCAGGGCAATGTGATCTGTGTGCCAAGAGTTGAATTTTATAAGACTTACTTGTGGGAAGGTGATTAAAGAGAAAATCCCCAAATCAAGAAAAGAGGGTGTGTCTCAGCATGGCCAAATTTTACTATATACCCAGCCGAGGAGAATATATATTTGTTATTAATTCTAACTTTAAAAATACAAGATATCTTAAACTTCTCAAAACAAGTAAGATAGCCAGTCATTAAAGCATCAGTTGAAATTATTCTTTTATTAGTGACTGATCCTCTGGTTTCAATAACTGCCACTAGTTTCAGTGAGATAAAGGCCTACTTAGAACAGAGTCCTTTATTTTAGGCAATAGAGGGGGAACTGACATAAATTTAATGTTTCCAGACTGTAATTTGGCGGCACAGATTTTCCTGAATTATAGAAAACCAGAGCTGAAAGGATCATTTGGTTTAAATGCTTGGCTTAGTGTAATATTCAAGAACTTGCCCAAGTGTTCTTTGTTAAATTCTTCTCTTTTAAGATCTCCTTCACATTTTATCAGAAGCTAGTCTTGATGAACAAGTTTCTCAGCTAGATGATAAGTCAACAGTTAATATCTCTGCTCTTCTATCTTGAGGTAGTTTGTTTCCTTGCTTGCATATGAAATTTCTTGGCTCAAATGTGGCTCAAATTCTGCTGTAATCACAGTAATGATCATAAAAACATCTACTATAACAAAAGGTTTTCAAGCCTAAGGCAGTTCCTTATTTACTATACACTACAATGTAAGGTTCTAACATAACCAAAAAAATTGGGCTAATCTCATAAACATTGCAGAAAATAGGCATGACTTATAATACCGCCATAGGAATGGAGCCATAAGACCTGGTAACGACATACATCATCAGATTCCCTGATCAGTTCAGTATCTTCCACTTGTACTACTGCATCAGCACCACAGGGGATTGGAGCACCTGTTGTAACCCGCATGACTTGTCCTGGCATTACTGTCTGAGTCGGCTGGAAATACAAACATGCAAGAAAGAGTTGATTTACTTTACTGCTGCAAAGGAGAAGTCTGCAGGAGATGTGACAGTTTTTGAAACAAACCATAAAAGGAAAATCTTACAGTCTTATTCATTTTGGGAAAATGTAATAAAAGTCACAAACAAATATACTTACACCAAAGAGGCTTTCGTTTGACTTAAGTAATGACTTAATTAGATGTCTTTCTTGGTGCCCTGCTTTCCTTTTGAAGAACTACCACTTATATTTGCCACTACTGTCTCTCACTCATTGTGAATTTTCTTAATATATGTAAAGTGATTTTACAGTCTTTAAAAAAATACCATGTAATATGATTTTATGAATGACAATTATGAAAAACCATCATGTTGATCATTTACTGAAGTTCTGATGTTTGAGAAATGTAGTATTTTATTAACCAACGTTTTAGTTAAATAAAGGCAAGCCAGAAAAATTATTTTAATTATTACTCTTGAAAATCTTTATAAAATATATTAGTTCACCTTGCAACTAATAAGAAAAGTCTAACAAATGTAAATAAATCATTTAAAAATGACTCCAGTGTCTGTAATGATTTGTGTTAAATATTATATCCAAGATTTTTATTGTTTGAGCTCTCATATGAATGGTATGGGAGACTGACTACAGGACCTACCTTGCACACTTCCTCCCAGCACAGGAAAAATCATATTTCTGTCAGCTCCAACTAATAGGTTTGATCTGGCCTCAGAAGAGTCACTTGTCATGGGCCATGATTTAGATCAGATTTGGGAAAAGGAATGCTTTAAATTTCCCCAAAAAGAAAATTCTGAGATAACATTAATTCCCCAATAAAAATGATATCTTTCCAAAGACATCTGCTTCTTAGGTATTTAAAATTTTAGGTTACAACACGTAAATATTCTTAACACTACTGAACTGTACACTTAAAAATGGTTAAGATGGTACTTTTTATGTTATACATTTTTTACCACATTAAAAAATATTAGGGAATGATTAAGGAAAAATACCCTTCCACTAGATGTACAATCAAAGTAAAACTGGAAATGTATTTGTTAGAAAAGCCTTAAAAAGCTTATTTCCATAATGTTATTGCTGTAAACAATACCATCAATAGCTAATATTTACTGAGTACTCAATCTATGCTAGGCAGTGTTAGGTGCATTATTATATTCCAGAATATAAGCCTTATAAAGACAGAAATTTTCAGTTTCTGTTTGCCTCTCTAGATCACATCGTCATTTTCCTGTGCTGTGGCCCATAAGGCCAGCCTCTATGGACTGTTTCAACCAGGTTCCCATCACTCTGGCTTCTGGTTAGGTTCAGCCAATGGGAGGGGCCAACAAGAGATCAGAGGCTAGGAGAGAGAGAGAAGTACAGTTTTTATTCCCCTTGCCCTTTCCCTGCTGGGCTGCAGTTTGGTGATGGGTATGCCATTTCTACTACTGATGCCACAGCTCCTATTAGGTGGACCTCTCCCATAGCTATCAATCTCCCAGGTCTAGGTACTACTCTCTCCCTTTGCCCCTTCAAACCTAGAGGAGGTAATGAAATCTCACTGTTGCTAGTACCTGAGTGCTTCACATTCCTTTGTTAGTTTCCCCTAATCCTGTCTATATCTTGGGTAGAGTCATTTCATTAATCTTTAATCACCCTCTTTCCAGACATATTTATTGCTCTACCATCCCAAAGCCTAGAAAGTGTCTGGCACAAAGTTGGTAGTCAATAAATATTTCCAGAATGAATGAATAAGTATGCATGGTCTCATTACCACAACAACTACATGAACCATGTAATCCTTCTTGGTTTACAACTCCGGTGTTCTCACTGATTTTCTCCCACAAGTCACTGGAGAATGGTTCTTGGGATCAAATCTGGCATTGAACTACATACTTTATATCCCCTTTTTTGAACTTTGTCCAATGATAGCACTTCATAATTACACAACTGAAAGTGTCCAATGTTAACCAATAGGACCAAACTATAAGTGATTTAAGGCTAAGTATTTTGGTACACCAATAAACCATGTTGTAAATAACTGTCTCAGTGTATGCAATGGTCCCCTAGTGCTCAAGTGTATTTACTTTCAATAAGTGAGCAATTTGGCTCTTGCAAGATCCCTGAGATTGCTGTAAAGAGTGTATGTGTATGATACATCAGTTATAGATAAAGTACATCACAGGTAACTTGAGGAAAAACCCTGTTTTCTTATATAGTTTTGATCTTTTTTCCCATCAAAATTTTATGAGAACTTACAAGAAGTTGGCAATTTTTTAATTTCACAACTTTTCTTGTGCTCCTTGTTATCAGTTGGAAGTCTTAACTAGTAAATAAAGTTTAAGGGCCCATAAGGCTCTTAACAATCTGCTACCTATGCCTAAGTATTCTAGGCTGTAACTACCACAAACGATTTGCCATTTCCTAATACCATGCAATTTTTCAAACACCACTGGGTCTTGACTTATACTGTTCTTTCTGCTTGGAATGTTCCTTTTTCATTTCTGTTTCTGTTTTTGTAAAACTCTCTTAGGCCCAGCTCCAATGTCATCTGCCTAGCCCTTCTAGGACAAAATGCTCAACCTCTCTATTGTGCTCCATAGCACATGACTGAGAGCATTAGTTTAACACTTAATATATTGTATTATATTTAGTTGTTTATACTCTGTCTCCTCCACTATATGTAAACTGTTAAGAGTAGTAATCATGTATTAATCTATTTCATATTCCTAGAACCTAGCACAGTGCTTCTTGGTACAAACAGTAGGTAGGTTTGATAAATATTGGATAGACTCAGTTGAAGATCAGAGAAGTACTCCTTGAATAATTGATATTTTGGGGCTTTGTTAAAAAAAATGGATGCTTTGTATGTCCATTGCTGATGGATACACATACCAAGCGGTCAAGTAAGTTATGAGGTCATAATGCAAGTTATTTATAAAAAAGCGACCTAGGTCTAGTTGTTCTTTTTGTCAGGAAAACAGTCATGAAGAGCAAAACCAGCCTGTGCACAGCATGGACAAGGATCCAATTACTACAGTGTCAGGCTTAGCTTCAGAGACCTGCACACAGTACTCCTCAATGCTTGGATGTAGAGGTGAGGCAGCTAGGGTTACCACCATTGGCACCATCCTTCTCCTATATACTTCCTCAACCCCTCTCTATTTTTAGCACATATGGGAGTACATGCTAAGGCGTGGGATATAGCTTTTGCTCAAACTGCCCTATTTATTTATTTATTTCCTCCTTTATTTTATTTATTTATTTATTTATTGCAGTACGCGGGCCTCTCACTGTTGTGCCCTCTCCCATTGCAGAGCACAGGCTCCGGACGCGCAGGCTCAGCGGCCATGGCTCACGGGCCCAGCCGCTCCGCGGCATGTGGGATCTTCCCGGACCGGGTCACGAACCCGCGTCCCCTGCATCGGCGGACTCTCAACCACTGCGCCACCAGGGAAGCCCCCCTCCTTTATTTTTATATAATCCTTATGAGTGTTTGGTGGTAGCAGAAGAGAAAAGTGCGTTGGTTTTCCCTTTGCCTCTAGTCAATAAGGAAGGTGCTCTTTTAACCAACTTTCAAAACTCACTGGATTAACATATGCTCTCTATTTCCTATTGAACGTAATGATGCCTACAGACACTTTGTTTGAAACTGTTAGACTCTTCTCTTGTACACCTAAGGTTCAACCGAGTTTGCTCCCAAACTTGTTTGTACCAGTTTGTGGCAATAGTTGCTACTGAATTAAGTTATTTAAATAAATATTACACAAACCAATGATATATGAGTGTAAAAGGAGTTATTTTTTTCCTATAAAAATTAAGTTAAACCTTTGGAAAAACTCATTTAAAAAAGGCTGCTAAAAAGAACTGATGTCAAATTAGGTATGGGTGAAGCAACTGTAAAAAAAATTATAAAAATATAATAAAAATCTAGAAGGCTTCTATACTTAGATACTTTGCAAAGGCCTTAAATTTTTTTCCACTTTAAAGAAACTAAAACTTGAAATCACATATAATGCCTTTTGGGTATAAGAGAAGTTCAAATAGCAGATACTTATTAAAAGAAAAGCCTTAGGGCTTCCCTGGTGGCGCAGTGGTTGAGAGTCCACCTGCCAATGCAGAGGACGCGGGTTCGTGTCCCGGTCCGGGAAGATCCCACATGCCGCGGAGCGACTAGGCCCGTGAGCCATGGCTGCTGAGCCTGCGCGTCCGGAGCCTGTGCTCCGCAACGCCAGAAGCGAAAACAGAAAAAGAACAAAAGCCCCCCGTAAGGGGAAAAAAAAAAAAAAAAAAAAAAGCCTAGCTCTCCATCAAATTACTGACAAATAAATGTTCATTTATTTAAGTTACATTTACATTTATTTTAAAAGTAAAAGATAATTTCCCACTTGTAACTTATTTCCAATTAAATGACCAATTACTGGTATCCAAAGCATTAATTAAGAGGACTTCTGCTGTACTTCGACCATGGCCCATCAGTGCTTCGTTTCTATTAAGAAATACCTGTTCTCTGGTTAGCTCCCTGATGAGAAAAATTAATCAAAATGATTAGCTAGAAAGATTAAATAATCTGCTTCTTCTAAATTTCCCTGTATGTAACACGAGTTGGGGAAAACTCTGCAAAGACCACTTAGAAATTTTAGCTCTATTCAAACATTAATGTTTATACCAGAAGAAAGATTCATCCAATCACAGGGCTGGAAAATGCTTGTGCGGCATGTCATCTGAGACATACCAGTAACATCATGCTGTATATTAATAGATGCAGATTCTTTCAGTTAAGAAATAATTCATTTGGTTCTTTCTCATGGGAACCATCCTTTCATCTCTTTGATAACCTGTCTAATCCTTCTCTAAGATTTCCATTACAACAATGGCAGAAGTCTAGAATTAGAAGCCCAAAGTCCATGAAACTAAAATCTTTAGGGCCTTTCAGGCTTATGAATCTCACCTGTTCACCAGCTTGGGATTCCCCAATGATGAAACGATCTCCTGGGCCATCGGCAGCTGTGAGATGAACAGAACCAAGAACAATCATCAGAATGGACCTATAGCAAAGAATAAGAACCTAGTGTTGGAATTCTAAAACTTGACTCAAATGATCAGCTAAGGCTTCAGGAAAGTGGAATACTTTTCTGATCTCCTAGTTTAGAAAAGGGCTTTGTTATTACTAGTTTGATCTTCGGTATCCACAACTCACAAGAACCAACAGTAGTGGTCCAGGTTGTGCCTTTTCTTGGTGTCTCTGGAGATAGTTTTCTTGTTGTTCCATAATTTCCACTCTTGCACTTTTTAATAGGAAGTTCTTTTAGCCTATCGTCCTAAATAAATGGTATGTATGTGTTATATGTGTGTACACACTCATGGAGACATATGTATGAAGTAGCAAGTGAAGTAGGAAGAACATATATTCTTTTCTTCATTTGACACTTGAAGGAAATGAGTTACAGAATGAAGAAACTCAGGTAGAAAAGGTTCAGTACCTTTAACAAGTTCTGGCTAGTGGTAGAGCTAGGACTAAAACCCCAGTCCCTGAATTTCCAATACAGTATTTTTTTTTTTTATGATGGATCAAAATTCTGTTTCTAAATCAAAATACACGGGCAGTGCTGCATCACAATTCCCATTGACTGTTTATTTTTAATTGGAAGAAACACTTTCAGACTTGAGACGGAAAAAACTTCTCATCCAATTTTTTTCTATATACAGTATAGTAATGGCTGGATGAAAAAATATTCCTGGAGATAAATGTATTCAAAAGGGTTTTCTTCACATACAATTGGATTTCAGACCAATACTATTGGCAAGGCAATGCATACCTAATGAGTTTCATGATCATGACCATTATCTCCTTGTAATCAGCATACAGCAAGGGTTTGGGGGCACATACACAGCAAAGGTAACACTATTTATATGAATATTTTAATCATATTTGCAGTCATGTTGATAAATAATAAAAAGTATTTTCCCTCTTTTAGAGAGGATATATAAAATTTATTGTTTCTTGGACTTCCCTGGTGGTGCAATGGTTAAGAATCCACCTGCCAATGTAGGGGATGCAGGTTCGAGCCCTGGTCCAGGAAGAGCCCACATACTGTGGAGCGGCTAAGCCCAGTGCGCCATAACTACTGAGTCTGTGCTCTGGAGCCCGTGAGCCACAACTACTGAAGCCCGCGAGCCACAACTACTGAAGCCCGCGCGCCTAGAGCCTGTGCTCGGCAACAAGAGAAGCCACTGCAATGAGGAGCCTATGCACCGCAAGGAAGAGTAGCCCCCGCTCGTTGCAACTAGAGAAAAGCCCACGCACAGCAATAAAGACCCAAAGCAGCCAAAAATAAATAAATAAATAAATAAATTTTAAAAAGAAAGAAAGAAAGCCAGATATAAGAGAATCCATGTAGCCTGATTACATTTATTTTTTTAAAAAATTATTGTTTCTTTATGTGACTACAAAGTAGTATTTTTTCTGAAGCCTTATATATACAATACCGTTTATAATAAGTCACTATTTTGCACAGCTGGCTTTGGTTAACCTGATGTGAAGAGGAACAAAAATTAACATTGGGTGTCTTCTACTTACTAGATGTTGTATCTTGTGCTTTTTAGACATTGTCTCAGTTAATAAACTCTTGGCTTTCTGGTGTTTTTTTGGAATGCTGTTGTATTTTCAGTGTTCACTTGTAAGAAAGAGAATACTGTAGTTTTCCTGCAATGGTATTCTTATGCTGCTTTCATGGGTTCTTTTTTCTTTCCTCTTTTTTTTTTAATGAAACAATTTAAAACAGACATAGAAATCACTGCTTCAACAATTATCAACATTTTACCAATTTCGTCTCATCTGCCCCCACACTTATTTTTGCAGTATTTTAAAGTTAATCATAATTTTCTTACTGTAGAAAATTAAAAAGTCAATTATCTTTCAGAGTTCTGTACTAACTGCATCTCAAAACTCAATAAACTTAGTTTTGATTATTTCTCTGCTAGAGATATTACCAGCTTTCCACCTCCCGTAAGCAACCTAGATGTCTTCTCTTTTTACTTCTTGCTCAAGGGAAAATTAGCATGGTTTTAGAGTAAAAGCTGAATCTGAATCCTGGTTCTGCCTATTATTAGCCTCAGGACTTTCAGCAAATTACTAAAACTTTCTCTAACCTTCAGTTTGCTTGTTGATAAAAATGGGAATAACCATACTTTAAAAATAATACCTTTTAAGGCTTTTTATTCCTTTCATTCATTCACTAAATTTCTACTGAGGTCTTCTGTGCTCTTAGTGTTATATTAGATGCTGGGACAGAGTAGAGAGTAAAACTAGATATTGTTTCTATTCTAATGCAGTGTCAGTCTGTTGCAATGTTTTTCAAACTCTAGATCACAAATAGAGGTGGGCTGTAAAATCATCTTGTAAAGAAAAAGAACAGAAAATATATCTCGTCACACATGGTAAAGGTGAAAATTGTGTCAAGAAACTTATTTTTGTTTATATATATGCATGCATATATATTTATATGCATTGTATATGTTATATATGTATGTGTATATCATTGGTTTATGATGTCTAATGTATTAATGTGTGTCTTTCTATGGGTGTGGTGAAAACAAAACTCTTAAAGCCACCGATGTGAGGGAGATAGATATTAATCAAATAGTCACATTAACAAACATATAAATTTGTATATAAATACAAATTAAGAAAACCATTCTAAAGGAAAGGAACACGGTTTTATGAGAGCATACACTGAAAGTACCTGAACTACACTGGAGGGTCAGGGAAAGACACCCTGATAAAAGCATTTATGATTTGAATATGAAGGATGAGGAAGAGCTAAGTAGGCAAAAATATATGGGGATGGGGGAGAGGGAGAGGGAAAAGGAGAGGGAGAGATGGGGTGGGGGGAAGAGGGAGAGATGGGGAGAGAGGGAGAGATGGAGGGAGAGGGAGAGAGACAGAGAGGAAATGAAAATGCTTCATCCATAGATATTCACCTAAAGAAAACAGTATGTGTAAAGGCTCTGGTTCACGTCCTCCCTCTATCCTATAGTCTAGCTACTCTCAGGAGTACCTGAGAATACCAAGATGACTCATATTTCAGCTCCATAACATATGCTACTCTCACTGCTTGGAGTGTCCTTTTCTTTTCCCTGCCTTCTGGTTAAAGACTTCTTAGCTTTTAAGACTCAGCTCAAGTGTCACCTTCTCTAGGAAGTCATATCTGACTTCCTTTCCCTCAAGAGTCACCTACTTCTTTTGTTTCCACAGTGTATTCCTGAAATAACTCTAATTACGGCTTCCTAATGTATTTGTAACCATTTTCTTATTTGTCTCAGGGAAATTCCTAGTACCTGCTGAATAACAGGTATTCAATAAATGTTCAATATACGAAGTATTCGAAAGTTCAAGAAACGAATGAGTGTGGCTCCTAAGAATCTTTGTAGAAAGATGCATGCATGAATGAACAATAAATAATATTTTCCACTGCAAAATGCTGTATTTTGAATGCCTTCCATTTTCTGCTGGTTCGTGTATATTGTTTTCTTCAAAATACGAGTCAACATTCACCATCTTTAGAATGTTCAGAAAGACTGCTCTGCTTAATTCTATATAACTTAGATTTTGTCTAGCATAGTGCCTAGTTCATCACTGATGCTCAGTAAATATTTGATAAAACAAAGAAATCAACTTGGCACTTCCATAATACTTAGGTGGGAAGTTTGTAAACTGTCTTATACACATTAGTATTGTGCTTTGTAAATTTTCTTAAATAATTTTATAAATGTGTGGTAGGTAGGGATCACTTCCTTTATTTCTTTTTTGAAACCCTCTGCTCTTCAGTCTTCCTCTTGTCTCCTGTTCCCCACACATGCAAATATACATACACTCAAAATGCTCATATCAGTGTTCTGCACAAATGCTCCAAACAAATGTCATTATATAATGAGTGGCTAGAGATAACCCGGGGCAAGGTTGATATAGAGTGTCAGGGAGGCCAACAACTGAAAGAGCCTTTAAGTGATTCTAAGAAGCAAGATGCTTTGTTGCCAAGGAAGGTACACTGACTGGGGAGAGAATATATCTCACTTTAACTGTGTTCTCCACTTTGCCCTGAAAATTTCCACCTGGGAAACATGCTAGATAAGGAAGGCTCAGTCAACCAACATTATAGAAAGTCCCAGGTACCAACGGAGGAGTCATTTTTACCATTTCCCTTATAACAGTGCTTCTCAACCCTTAATGTGCATAGAAATCACCTGGAGGTCTTAAAATACAGATTCCGATTCAGTAGGTCTGGGACAGGCCCTGAGGTTCTACATTTCTAACAAGCTGATGCTTATGCAGCTGGTTCATGGACTACCCTTTCTGAGGAGCACAGCACTGTAAGATTGAACGGAATACAGACAAATTCAGACTAAGAGAAAACTTAAGAAATAAAAAATTAGTGAACTACAACAGAAGTCCTGATTTTACATCAACACCAAGGCTAACTATTTATTATAAAGACAGAAAAGTAACGATCAATCTACCTAACTTACTGATATTTATTTTAAAATATCTATTAAACAGACAGGTAAAAGAAAAGTTGCCATTTTCAAGATGAATTCTACCAGCTTGGGTGGGAGGGGGCAGAAGTGGAGGTACAGTGGCAGATGAAGCTAAAGCTTGGAAAGAACTTAAGTAAGCCACAGTACGCCATTAGAAAAGATGGATGGATTCCAAGGATTTCTGTAAAGGCTTAGACTCTTTCCCCCCACTAATTCTGACATTTCTATTAATAAGTTTTCTTTTCTGTTTTGTAACTGTAGAATTTAATTTGAAGGAAGAGATAAAAGCAATATAAACCAAATCCTAACAGCAAATGCACTGTATAATGCTTAATGCTAGACCCTGAAACTGCTCCCACTTCCACCTTTTTAATGTCCAGAAAACACTTTTAGTCTTTATTTGAAGATTTCTGATATAGATCAGATATAGATATATAGATATCAATATATCTAATTGATACCATTAGATAACTATTCATTGTGTCAATGTATAGAAAATGATCATCCTCAAGCCATTTGCCCTAGAATTATCCCTCATTTTCATTTTCCAGCCATGTGGGAGCTCTCTTTAAATCTCTTGAAATCCTTTATAGCTATTCACTTATTTTCAGTAACAAAAGCCTCATCGTTTCCATGTTAGGACTGAATAAACACAGGCCATAGATAGCATAACTTTCAGAGGTCCTAGGCGCCTCTATTCTTCAATAGAGGAATAAGGCAGAAGGACTAATATTCTGTTTATCTCTAATTATAGAACCAAACTGTCTAAGACTGGATGATAGGCAACAGGGTAATAGTATTGATATTTATGTGTATACTAAAATTAACATTGTAGAACGAGTTTGGAGTGGTGGCAAGGGTAGGTGACAAGACTAGCACAACAGGATTAATACTTGCTGCAGTTATACTGAGGGATTAAATCAGGTGAGTTGTTTGGAATTTTAAATCTGCTGCCTGGAAAGCAGGGAGCAAGGAGTAGAACAGATGAATGAGAAGGCATTTTATATTCTTTACCATCATCTTCCAGGAGAAAAATGTCCATATATTGTTAGTATTGGGAAAAGATATATTATTTCCTTAAATACATTATTTTAAGCTTTTGGGGATTAACTTAAATTAATTATTCAAAATTATCTCTCTGCTCACATGAGTAATACTCCTATATCATAAGGCTTTCTTTTTCATCCAAAGTGTCCTACAGTGGAAGGCCACTGGCTGTCAAATGAGTTGGAAAACCAGCTATGGCCAAACAGGATTTAAATGGACAAAACAGAAACTCTAAAACATTACTTTTGTGACAGAATAAGAACTAGCGCAAAATCAAAAAGGTTATACCGAATTTTAGTATGCATTTTAACACACTGGAAGGAAGTACAACAAAATGTTAATAGTAGCTAGACAGTGAGATAATGGGTTAAAATGTTCTTTTTGATTTTCTGTATTTTCCATAAGCATGTATTTAATCAGAATGTATAAAAGAAAAAGCTTTAATATTTACTTAACCTAAATGGCAAGGATTTCTCTTAATATAATTTTCCAGAATTGTTTGTTGCACATGGTTCTCAAAATAATTACTGGCTTGTTTATAATTTTCCCTTTTCTTAAATAATCCCCAAACTAATTCTGAAGTGATAAGCCTTTCAAATTGAACATTTTCAAGAGAGTGAATTTGGTATTCTGAGATATTTTTACCTTTATTAACATCTAAGAAGCAATTGTGAGACAATGGGCACCCACATCTCTATAGGAGCGTGTGAATGCATCAAGAAGATGGTTGGCTTAATCAGTGTGAAGGGAGAAATAACTCTTCAAAAATACGAATAAAACTATTGTATTGCTTCTAACTGGTAAATGCTACTTTCATTTTCTTTTCTCTTCTTTCATCATTCAAATTCATTCCCTCCTGAATGTAGTTTTAGGTTTATTAGTTTACATCATCACTTGATTCCTATCTTCTTTATACTCTATTCTTTATTTTTTAAAAGCTGTTCCTATTTCTTATTTCTTTAGCTATTTGTTACTGTCTTGATTTTTCAACCCACATACCTTAAAGCAAGTGATCCTCCAACTGGTTTGGAGTTTTATCCCACATGTTTCTGAAGGATACTGGCTAATGCTTAGTGATCCAGAGCAAGTTAGCAACCTCTTTACACCTAGAGGGTTAGCAATGCTCACAGGTGCCACTGGTTATTACTGGAAGGCCTAAGGCAAAGGCAGAGGAGAAGAAAAACAAGGAGAATAAAGGGAGTGGGGAGAAAGGATGGGAGTAAAGGAAGAAGGGGTGGAGAGAAGAAGGTATACAAAGTAGAGGTAGAGAGCCACAACAATAGCCTCAAGGATATTCTTTACCAAAACACTGTCTGGGGTTGGTATTATAACACAGAAAAGACTAAGACCATGCCTTTTTGTTCACTGATGACTTCTGCTGCCTTAATTATGTTGATCATAATTAACCAGTCATTCCTACTTTGAAATTTAACCATATCCATGATGGTTATCTGTTATGTGTTATATCTCTGTTATACATTCCATATCTTAGAGAACTAGCAATGTTTCACAGGAAAGAAAGAATGTGAATTAGCTGCATGGTGGATTATCTGTTGAACATTTTATACCGTAAGATGTCATTTTAAATGTTTGTGTGTGTGTGTGTGTGTGTGCTTGCGTATGTGTGTGAAATAACTAAAAACACCACCACTCTAAAACAAAATAAATGATATACTAAATGGTAATTTTATATACAAATTTCTTTGATAGATTCTACAGTTGCAGAAAGGCTCTTTCCTGGCTCACATGGGCTAACTAGAAAAGCTAAAAGCAATAGTTTCTTTTTATTGAGCTGCTGCTACCTCATCTAAAAATCACAGAACAACTTTCTGTTTCAGAATAATTCTGCCTAATATAATTTATTTTCTCACTTTCTCTTACTTTACATTACCGAGAATATAAAAAATAGACTTTCTTGTCCTTTTGGTGTTTCATCTGCTGTAGTTGTTTGTTCTACTCTGGAAGTAAGAATTCATCATTTCATAGCAATCCAATATGGCCACCAATTATAAGTTCAAACAGAATTTACATTTTAGAGGGAATAAGAAACAAGAGCCAGTGAGGCTAACAGAAGACTAAAATAAATTTCTTTCTGGATAATATTCATTATAATAAACACTATAGAAGAAATGAATTTGGAAGAGAAAACATAGGAGGCATTGGGGATTTGTTATTTATATTTTCAGAAATACTCTAATTTGTGAGATAGAGCTGAATCAGGTGCATTTAAGACAGTTTCCTGAGAAAGAATACACTAGTAGGAATTAATCTCTCCACCATTTTATGAGAATAACAGTTTAGATAAATGTTATCCTTTTTTCAGAGATGGTTTAAGAAAATGTGATAATAATAATAAAAAAAAATAGTAATAATAGGTACTATTATTAAACATTAAAAAAACAACGATTGAGTGCTTTTTTGGTGTGTGTGTGTTTGCCATATACTTTAAAGCTTTCTACAGTCTCACTTAATTCTCACAATAACCTGTTGGGATAAATACTGTTATAATTATCACCATTTTATAGATGAGGAAACCAAGGCTCAAAAAGTTTAAGTGATTTGCTCAAACTTACATAGATGGAACTGGTGCTAGAACCCAGATCACTCTTACTTTGTTATCACTCACTTTTTTACCACTCAAAGTCCATAATCTTAACCATTTGTTCTACTGTCTCCAACAGAGAAAGATACTGCTAAGATATGGCAATGGAACACGGAGGAGGTCAATGAATGTATTTAATTACAAGAAAGAAGAAATTATTTTAATAGCTAGATAGAGTAAAAAAAAAATCCAAAGCCCAAAAATCAAGTAAGGGACTCCACAAATGACCATTAAAAAGGAATTGGCCTTCTTAACAGCTCTGATAAACTGGGAAATGTTTTTAGACATTTCTTCAATCATACCAGCCTTGAGTTAATAACCAATAATAGTTTCTAAGCAATTCAGTTGCATTTTCATTTTGGGTTCTTTCGTAGATTGGACTTTAGGCAGGCAAATGCTATTTAGTATTTGCTTTTGAGCTTCATGCAATCCCAGGCAACTCTAAAGGCATGAGCTGCTGGTACCATCTGGGGCTTCAGAGCCTTGAAATATGGAATCTTCTAGGGAATTAGAGGTTTCCCTCATGCTTGCTTTCTATGAAGCCCTTATTGATGTTTGAGTTTAAAGCAGGAGAAAAAAAATTCCCCACTTTATCCCTGTGTTGGGAGTTTGCTCTTCTTTCTTGGACCATATAGATGTTTTCAACTAGAAAACATTTGGACTTCCAGACCAAGACTGTCTGCCATCTGGTATGTGTAGAGGCCGAAAGAATAAATCATGATACAGTGTCTTTATCATCCTCTACATACTTATTTGTAAGTAAGAATTTTCAAGTAACTATAGTACTGTCACTGAAAAGTTTTAATCAAGATTGTGCTGGAAAATATATAGGTGTAGGTTAACATTGTTATCTGTGAATAAAATTATTTTGACAGCCAAGGGGGAAATAGATGAAATAGTCATTAGGTACCTGGGCTGAGCCAAAAATCTGAAAAAAAACCCCAACAAATTACAATGTGAGTATGTTGATACTCAAGAAAACCAAAATATTTACCTCGGACAGCATAGCCATCTTTTACTGATGCTGGGAACGGGGGTAGGTTGTCTTTTGCATATACATCTTGAGCAAGGACTCGCCCCATTCCATCTGTAAGAGAAAAGAAGGAAAATATGGATGTTAAGTGCAGTGGGTTAAACAGGTAGTCCTAAACAAGATGGACATAGGTACTTGTCTGACAAGGCTTGTATAAGGGCTCAGTCAGATCTCCTGATTTCTATCCCAAGGAATAGGCGACAGAAGGAAGAGATGCATCCTAGTGTCTGAAATGAAAGATTAAGATTCAGTCAATTAATAGCAATGCTTCCAGGGATTATTTGAATATGAGTAGCTACACAGTCATCAAAGATGTGTTCAAGTTGATGTGTCATTAATCCTTTAACAATCCAAAGATGATTTTCTTTAAAAAGTAAATTCTTAAACAGTCATAGTCATTGATCCAGTAATTTCACTTCTAGAAATCTATCTTAAGAAAATGGATAAATCTTTCTGTACATGTTTATTTCAGAGTTGCTTACATTAGTGAGAAATGGAAAGAAATCAAAAGTTTAACAATACATAAATTTAAACAATGATGTATCCTTATGATAAAATATTATACAGGCTAAAGTAATATTTATGAAAAATATTCACTGACACAGGAAAATTCTTATGACATACATTTTAAAAACATGCAGAACTGTATATACAATGTATAATCCTAACTATGTTAAGATATATGTATATAGAGCAATAGAAAAAGATGGGAAAGGCATACATGAAAATATAAAGTATTTGTTTACTGCAGTATGTTAGAATTATGTATAATTTTATACCCTTTGCTAAAATTTTCTGAAAATTTCCAAGTTTTCTACAATGATCACATGTAATTTCTAGAGATTTTTTTTCCTTTAGAAGAGAAAAGTAAAGAAAAGAAAGGAGCTTCCTTATCATTCTATTTAACTTTAGCCAAAATTTTGGCTTTATTAATCTAAAAAAAATTAGTGACTATAAGAAGAGCACCATTGATCTATTGTGTGAAGTGACTATTCAAACCACTATTCATCCACTCTGGATGACAATCACATTTGGTTACAGCTCAGGAGTTTGATTTAGTGCCAAAAAGAATAAAAGTTTCAAGAGTCATGACCAATTCCTTAAATCCTCTAGTCAGAATCTGTCATTATTATTATTATTATTATTACTATTGTTATTATTCTAAAGGAGTAACAGAATAATTAATAGGAGATAGAGAAGGAAGAAGAGGAGGAGGAAAAAAAATCAAGCTTCTCTCCAAAGACTGTAAGTAATACAGAACTTGATTTACGTAAGATGTTTGTATAGATTTAGAAAATTCCATTGTTTCCAGAGCTGGATGAGTCTTTTTTTGTTTGTTTCTTTTTCGTTTTTAGCTTTGTCCTTCTTAGCCACCTAGAGCCTCTGGTTTCCAGATTCCAGGACAAAGAAGTAAGGACAGACAGATTTTAAATTTTGTACCCTGATCCACAGTGATAGTGATGTTGACTCTTTCTTTTTAAGGAAAGTGACACCTGAATTGGAAGGGAGAACTTCTTAGCAGATTCTAGCTGTAGGTACTCCCAGGAGGTTGAAGCTATTCTGTAGCTATGGACCATACTTTGTAAGACCAGGGAAGTGGTAGGACCAGAGGGTCTGGTTTGTATTCATATATACAACATTAACTCCCAAATGAACCTGAAGCTATAAGGCAGTCTCTGGTAGTGAGCCCCATGACATCTGTCCAGGGTCACAATAAACTACCTGGGGTAGCTCCTTATCTGAAACTATTCTGGTCTGGTGTGCCGAATGAAAATATAAGTGCTATGCCAGTTCAGATCCTAAGAGAATAATTTTCTGGGATGTGGAATAGCTCAGTAACAGTGGTTAATAATCAAATATAGCACCAGAGGTGAGTTTTTCTGGCAGCTGGTGTGGTTAATCTAGTAAATGTTTATATAGCATTTTATAAGTTACTAAGTAATATCATATACATATATAATCTCATTTAATCCTTAAAAAATCTAGTAAAGCATTATTATATTCATTTTACAGATGAAAAAAGAGAAATTTAAACAGGGTAAGTAACTTATCCAAGGTCATATATTTCACAGGTGGCTAAGGTAGGACTGAAATTTAGATCTTAGAGTGTCAATCATTACTACAATGGCAATAGCTACATACTCTCCATGTACAGCTCTTCCTCTGTTTCCCTGATGTTTAAAAAAGCTACAAGGTGATTCCTCAAAAAGTTAAACATAGAATTACCATATAATCCAGCAATTCCACTTCTAGGTATATATTCAAAAGAATTAACAGCAGAGACTTGAACAGATATTTGTGCACTATTTTTATAGCAGCATTATTCACAATACAGTAGTCAAAAAGTGGAAGTAACCCAAGTGTCTACTGACAGATGAATGGATAAACAAAATGTAGTATGTACATTTAAGAATATTATTCAGCCTTAAAAAGGAAGGAAATTCTGACATATGCCATAATATGGATGAAACTTGAAGACATTATAAAATAAGTGAAAATAACTGAAATAAGCCAGTCACAAAAGGAGAAATATTGTATGATTCCACTTATATGAGGTAATCAGAATATTCAAAATCAAAATCATAGTATCAAAAAGTAGAATGGTGGTTGCCATGGGTTGGGGAGAGGGAGGAATAGGAAGTTATTTTTTAATGAGTATGGAGTTTCAGTGTGGGGAGATGAAAAAGTTTTGGAGATGGATGGTAATGACAGCTGCAGAATAATGTAAATGTATTTAATGTCACTGAACTGTACGGTTAAACACAATTAAAATGGTAAATCTTATTTTATGTATGTGTTACCACCATCACAAAAAACTACAAAGAACTGATGGCATCAACAGCTAGCACATGTTATTTTTCCTTCCTAAGTCCTTGCCAGTAGCCCAGGAGAAGTGATACATGCTCATCATGGCTCTTTTTATTCCTGTATTCCAGAAAGAAAGAGGTTGAACACTTAGTATGCCAAGCATGAAAGACTATTGATACTGACAGTTGTAGATATCGTAGTGGCTTAACATAAATTAACTAAGTTCTCATTGACAGCCACTTTAGAGAAAAGAGTATCAGCTGACTTGATTTCTCCCTTTAATGCCTGAGTTACTCATATATCTTACTGTGCAATTCCACTCTGGAGGGTTCCTAAGGTATAGAGTCTACTCAATCATAATCTGACAAAATTAGATTCTGGAAACTAAAGTAAAAACTCTGTTCCGCAAGTTTCCAATAATAATTGACCCCCTACCCCCATCCTACCATACACATAAACACTAAGAAATAGCCCTCAAATCTGAGGAGGCTCAAATAATAACTCTGGATTGGGAAGATGTACATATGACAAGAATAAGTGAGTTTATTTAATTATTTATTGAAATATAGTTGCTTTAAATATTCTATAAGTTACAGGTGTACAATATAGTGGTTTGCAATTTTTAAAGGTTATACTCCCTTTATAGTTATTACAAAATATTGGCTATATTCTCCGTGTTGTATAATATATGATTGTAGCTTATTTTATACCTAATAATTTGTACCTCTTACTCCCCTACCCCTAACTTGCCCCTTCCTTCTTTCCTCCCCACCCTGGTAATCTCTAGCTTGTTCTCTACATCTGTGAGTCTGCTTCTTTTTTATTATATTCACTAATTTGCTGTATTTCTTAGATGCTGCATATAAGTGATATCATACAGTATTTGTCTTTCTCTAACTTACTTCACTTAGCATAATGCCCTCCAAGTCTATTCATGTTGCTGCAAATTTCATTCTTTATTTATGGTTGAGTAGTGGTCCAGTGTGTGTGTGTGTGTGTGTGTGTGTGTGTGTGTGTGTGTGTGTGTGTGTAACATCTTCTTTATCTGTTCATCTCCTGATGGACAGTTAGGCTGCTTCCATATCTTGGCAATCATATATAATGCTGCCATGAACACTGGGGTGCATGTATCTTTTCGAATTAGTGTTTTTGCTTTTTTGGATATATACCCAGGAGTGAAATTGCTGGGTCATATGGTAGTTCTGTTTTTAGTTTTTTGAGAAACTTCCATCCTATTTTCCACAGAGGCCGTACCAATTTACATTCCCACCAACAGTGTATGAGGAGGTTCCCTTTTCTTTACATCCTATAAGCGAGTTATTTAAATGCTACAATCTACCCAAGCTTCATTAGGCTACAAAATAATACACAGATCCTATTTTAAGAATTCTATATTGCTAGCATAAGACTTGCCTAGTGTAATTTGAAAATGTTTATACTGAGATTGAACTTTATTTTTGACAAGTGTCCAGTTTCTGACACAAAGAATGATTTGCCACATCTTAAACATGGTGGGCTTTTTCTTATTTCTATGCCATTGCAAATAATGTTGCCTTGGACAGCAATACCTTTTTTCCTTCTTCTTTTCTCCCCCTAGTGAATCTTAGGCAACCTTTAAGTTTCAGCTCAGATGTCATGTCTTTGGCCTTCTGTCTCTAAACAGGAAAAGTTAGTTCATTGACCAATTTATTTATCCATTCATCAAACACTGGGAACCTACTATATGCTAGACACTGGGGACAAAAATACTAGTAAGACCTGGCTGATTTCCTCAAGGAATGCACATGTAACAGTGCATGTGAGAGAGGGGGATATGGAAAAATAAAAATATGATTACAAGATAGTATGATATGGGCAGTGACAGATATATGATCAGGGCAATATCGGAAGCATACAGAAAAAACCACCTAACCAACAATTTGTGGAACATCAAGAAAATCTTCCTAGATGAGGTATCTATGCTGAGTTTCACAGTTTGAAGTAAGAACCAAGTAGGAGAAAGGAGGGGACATTTTAGACAATGGAAGCAGGATGGAGGGAATTTAAACTTAATCTTATGAAAATGGGAATCCAATGTAGGATTTTTAAGCAGAGTAATGACTTCAAGTTAACCTCCCAGCAGTGTTTAAGTCTCTTCAGAGATAATGGAACGTTTTACGAACTTGCCTAGTGACAAGATACAGAATGGTTTGGAGGGATTGTACTTAGTCTTCATATTCTTAAAACATTTGTATCCATCTGTTATG